CGAACAAGAAAAAACAACGCGAACCGAGACGATCGACGCTCGTCGACACAACATTAGAACTCGGCACGTAAAAAAGTTTCATAAACCCTATATATAAACGAACTTACGTAAACAACAATGCAGTGCAGCGTACTAACAGATAAACACGATTGATGTCTCTATCTCGTTCTGGGAGCTCGCGTATCGCTGTATATTCCATCGGAATGGGCATAATACGAGCACTCGACACGAGAACCCGTCTATTATATATAAAAAAAAATTTGCCAGCCGCGATATGCTACACACCGGATACTCATACTCGTACGTCGCGTATACGAGGATGCGCTCGAATACAAAAATGAAATACATGAAATGCGTCCCGAATCGTTTTGCTACACGATATTCTCCTCCCGTCCGTCCGCGTGCGAGAGGGTCATTGTTCCGAGAGAATAAAAAGTTTCTTTCGTGCATCGACATTGATAGCATTAATATCGTAAATGAGAGAATAAATAACTCCAACTGAGAAAAGGTAAAAACATCGACTGCCTTTCGTAGATGTAAACTCACTCTCTTTTTAGTGCCATGTATACGAGAGAATTGTCCAACTTGATAATTATATAATCTTGCTGGTGTACAATGAGCTTGTGACATTTTTATAAGCGCAAACCTTTTTCCATCATTTTTTGTATTTGCTTTTCTCGAAATTTGACCTACAAACCTTTGCAGCGAATCTTTTGTAAACTTTTTTTTTTTGAGAATTTTAATAATCCATATCCGTGACCTAGCTATGTTATATACGATTGGCTGCGGGGTCTTTTTCACACACACCCACAAATACGTGCGCGCAAAGACGAACCAACGAAGAAAAAAAACGACTCACACTTCGTGAATCGAGATGAATGTGTGAACGTTCGAAATCATCCCCGGAGCGATACGAACGCGCGTACCTTTTAAATTTTCTAGTCGACACTTTTTGCGAGAAAAATGTGAGGAAAAAAAAATAGACTCGCGTGGAAAAATGTCGAAACGTTCATCTTTGTAATGCGCACAATAAAAAATGATTGTATAATTAATTCAAAAATAAAGAAACTAAAAGCTCGATAATTTATTCAAAGTCAAAGGATAACTTTATCAATTCTCGTTCGAGTGTTAGCTGCTGCAGCCACGCAAAGCGAGACAAAACTCACACCTCTCTCAACAGGCTAAAAACCGATAAATAATCCTCTCGGGCGTTTTCCATAGTATCACACACTGACCTCTCACCCAATTCTCTGTATACACATTCGCGTGGATCGGCTTGTCTCGCTCTCGGGCGCAAATGTACGGTATATATACAGATCGGCATAATATATACACCGAAGCGACGTGGCAAAGAGTAAAAAAAAAAGAAAAGTTCGAGTATTGAAAATCAAGCGAAAAAGCAAATTCTAATGGTCAACAATAACGCAGACTGGTCATTGAAAGTATTTTTTTTTTATTTTTTTCAGTATCAATATCCTCGAACAAAGCTAAGAATGGAAAAAAGAGCAATGAAAAATAGAGAAAGTGTATTGAAAAAGAAGAAAAGACAATGGGGTCGGAGGAGGTCCTTTGGAGCTTTTGCAATATGACATAACTCGTTTTGCCCGCACGACCAGTCGTGTATGTTTATTCTAGAAAGTGCAAAGCTCGATATGGCCGCTGTTGATTTACACGCATCGATACTGTCGCGCAATATACACATATATATATATAATGTGCGGAGCTTTGGCTGCCCAGCGCACGTCCAATAAGTTATTGTATACATATGCAATGTGATCAATCGACTGTTAATCTCATTCATGAATATTGAAATAATTTATGGGATTTGCGATGTTGTTTTGATTTCGAATTAATGCGCGAGTCTTTTAATGGCCGCTAAAAATTCATATTCGTAATTGTGCCATACTTTAGGTAACTTTTATCGATTTACTGGATAATATTTGTTTGTAAACATCCAAGCTTCGACTAGATCCAATCGAGAGACGCTTTGTGCGAAATAATTATTTATCGCGTGTATACGCAATCGAGGCTATTTTTACATAATACATCACGATCCGCGCGCAAATATTCAATGGAAATATTTTTGCCGAAGCAAAATATATGATATGATTGAAAGTGTTTTTATTGGGTTATGAACAAATCCCTACGAAATTTCTCTCGATATCACAGCTGATATAGGCTCACACGCCCCCGTGTGTGTATACCTTGAATGTATCGAATTGCAAACAAGCACGCGCAGATAGAGAGAGAGAGAGAGATGATCCAATAACGTCAGTGTACGCGTGCGTTTACTTGAAGCTCGCCGAAGTGCACCGTGTGTACAAGTGCATGTATAAGTGGGGATGCGATATTTGCGTATCGCAGCGAAAAAAACAACCCAATCGCGCAAATACCTGCGCCTTCGTGTAGATGCTAAATGAGGTAACATACATCGGTGTAAATAGAGCAAGAAATAAGTTCAAGTTAGAAAAAGTCAAGCTCCTTTCGAGATGAATATACATTTTATAAATGATTTTCTCATCCATTTGGTTCAAGATACGAGGAGGTTCGCATCTGTTGGCAGATGTTGCGTCAAAAAAATGTAAATAGCAATTATTCGCAGAAAATAGTCAATACATTTTTTTGAGTTGTAGTTGGATAATTATTGTATACTAATTAAATGTGGAATTTAATTTTAGACGTTAAAGTTTGGTACGTTGTGCGAAACAAATCACACCTGTTTTTACTTCGACGCAGAGGTAGTTCTCGATTCTATGCAGATTTAATCCCAATGAGTCATTAGAATCAAACTGAACGATATTAAATTATATTTAGAGTACTTTTACATGATCTCTTCGTAGAATATTAATGTTATTTCACTGTACATTATTTTTAATAAAAAAATGAAGTAAAATGATTTAATTATCTACTCAAATTTACGAATTTTGATCGAATGTTAATATTTTCATGGAGATTATTTTTTGTCTTACTTTACCAAATATTTTCGAAAACTCAATGAAAATTAATAAGAGTCTCTGACACTAGATGGTGAGTACTTTCATCTGTAAATCTGCAAGTGGTAAAGTAATAATAACTATACAAGTCAATTTACGGTTTTAAGTCGAATTGATATTGATCCAATTAAGATTATATTTTTTGGGTTAAATATTTTACTACGTTATATATATTATTTTGGCGCATTAATGATAATCATTCATTTATAATATTCATGAAGAAATTTATTTTTAACAATGAAGAAATTATTTCCGTTTCGTGACTAACAGTTTTCAGTATGGGTATACAATCATACATTAAAGAAAAATTAATCAAAAATTTTATTATATTTTATTTTAATTGTATTATCGATAATACAAATTTTTCACCAAGATAAAGCCCTCCGCACAGTTTCTTCTTTATCTGCAATCCGTAAAATATCTTTTGCGAGATGCATCGACGAAGAAAGTTAACAAGTCAATATTTTTTTTTCTTTTAATTGAACCTGTTTGCATCGGATACAGTGCAGTGTTATAAAAAAAGCAAAAAAAAGGAAGAAGAAGGAAAATACATAGTCTGGTTTCTTCTCTGCGTCACTCGGCCCTCAATCGGTCCTTCGAATACCTTGAAAAACAAGTTTTTAAGAGCGCGCGACGAGTCAGGTGCACGCATGATGCATCTCCATACCACGAAGGTCATTCGCCTTCGATTTAATACTTTGGCAAAGCCCTTTTTCGAGGTTATACACTTTCATTGTCGTTGTTGTTTTTTTTTATGAATTATTCACAAAATCCTAGTCGATCGCTCATCCAGATCTACGAAGCCTCGCGGTGCGCGAAACATTTTCAATCCAATTTATCCGTCCGTTGGCCGATGGAATCGCCCCGTGCATCCTCGACAAAAAGAGGAAATAATTTATGCGGACAAAAAGTTTAAAAAGCAACAAAAGCAGCGGGAAACTGATTCCGCGAAAAAATAATATTAATCCGCGGGGTAGGAGATTTTTTAACGAGCCATAAAGGGAAGAACAAATGAGAGCTGCACGTGTTGCCTTTCCAGTTACTCGTCTCGGTCCTTCTCTTTTTTTTTTATTATTCTTAATTTTTCCCCGTACCTGATTCAAAGTTCGTACCCCATGCCATCATTTGCAGCGGTAAAGCCGGCTTACATCTGTTCTTTGTAGTCATTGCAGCTCAATGCTCTCTCGCGGCCAGTTCCCTCATCACTGAAAATCTCACGCGAACGTATACAAACTTTATTATTCGTGCGCGGTATTTCGTATCGGACTGACTTTAGAATTTATTACAAAAAGGCGATTATCGTGTGAAAAAATTTGTGCACGACGCAAGAGCTTAGAGAATACAAATCCATCTCACGTAAGTAAACACGATAAAAATTATTAATTGACTCGATGCGCGAATAGCATGTAAAGAACTCGATATATTCGATCACTTTGAATTTCATTAAAGTAAATAAATCGGTAATGATATCAAATGCTCCAACGAAGTCGATCTTTCTCGTTGTTGCGCGTTAAAATTTGCAATTTATCTCGTACACACGAACTGTGCCGATATTTATGTATAATATTGTAAAATAATTATTCGTACTTCAATTAAAACGTCATTTTGCTATTATGCACCATATTCGTACGCGTCGAGCACAAAATTCAATGGGCACTCGAAAATGATAAAATGCATTAAATATTTAACTTTCGATTGATTGACCAGCTGCATACGTGTATATATCGAAATAATTCATAGAAGCTCGAACTAAAATTCACATTATTAATAATAGCTGATTCGTACTCAATTACAATTAACAAAATGATTTCAAAGCGATCGAATATAAATCGAAATATCTGCTGCACGGAAAATTGACTGTTCATTATTTTCAGATCGCGCCCGCGCAACGATGAAAACTGATTCTAAAACGTGAGAGATTTCCCGCACGTTAAATCGGAAAATTCAATATTCGAGAGAGAATCAATTTTAATCACAGCACGCTTGCCAGCAACAAAAAATTTCGAGATGATTTCGAAGTACGTCCCGCTGGCCGCGATAACGATAATCCTCGCGACCTACGTCGGCCCGAACTCGTCCGTGTTCTTCGACAATCTCGACAAGATACTGCCGCTGTTCGCGGGCAAGATCCAGTTCATTCGCGACTTCATCGAGTACGGCAGCGAGGAGATGTGCGACACGGTGCCCGAGCAGCACGCGGAGTACGACTACATCGTCGTCGGGGCGGGCAGCGCCGGCTCCACCCTGGCCGCGCGCCTCAGCGAGGACCGGGACGCGCGGGTGCTGCTGATCGAGGCGGGCGGCCACGAGTTCCTCGTCCACGACATACCGATAATGGCGCTGCATCTGTACTTCAACAAGGCCATACACTGGGACTACGCGACCGAGCCGTCGAATCAGTTCTGCCTCGGCAAGGAGAATCACCAGTGCCGAGTGCCCGTGGGCAAGGTGATGGGTGGCACCAGCACCGTCAATTTCATGATCGCCACCAGAGGTAAGAGAGAAACGATGTGTATAAACGGCGTAAAATCGAGTGTATGTAATAACGATCGAGCACGCATTACGCAGGCAATAGAAAGGACTACGACGAGTGGGCCGAGCTCACCGGCGACTCGAGCTGGTCCTACCAGGAGATGCTCAAGTACTTCAAGAAGCTCGAGACCTTCGACGTGGACCTGGCCAAGGTCGATCCCGCCTATCACAACTTCACCGGGCCCGTGCGCATCGCCAACATACCCTATCGCACGAAGATAGCCGACGCCTTCGTGGAGGCCGGCGCCGAGCTCGGCTACACCGCCGCGGACTACAACGGCCAGCGCCAGACCGGCTTCCATTACATGCAGACGAATCAGGTGCACGGCGAGCGCATGAGCGCCAATCGGGCCTATCTGCACCCGATCGCCAAGGACCGCGACAATCTCCACGTGAGCATGAACAGCCACGTCACTAAGATCCTCGTGGACCCCGGGAAGAAGGTGGCCTACGGCGCGCAGTTCACCAGGTACGAGAAGTACGCGAAGCCGCGGCGCTTCGAGGTGTACGCGAGGCGCGAGGTGATCGTGTGCGCGGGCGCCCTCAACACGCCGAAACTGCTGATGCTGTCGGGCCTGGGGCCGGCCCAGCATCTGCGCTCACACGGCATCCCCGTGGTGCAGGATCTGCCCGGCGTCGGCGAGAATCTCCAGGATCACATTGGCTACGGCGGACTGTCGTTTCTCGTCAACGACACGGTGGCCATCTCCGTGTCGGACATCGTCGATCTCAGCAAGTCCTTCACGGCGGACTATCTGAATCGTCGCCAGGGCCCGATGACGACCCTCGGCTCGATCGAGGCCATCGGCTACGTGGACGTGGACGAGCCCGAGCCCCTGAGCAGCTTGGCCCGCGATCGGCCCAACATGGAGCTGATGTTCGGCTCGCTGCATCTGGGCAACGACAAGTCGCTGCATCTGCCCTTCGCCATAAGCGAGGAGCACTGGCTGCAGTCGTTCTCGCGTACCCTCGACCGACACGGCTGGCTCGTCTGGCCGATCCTGCTCAAGCCCAAGAGCCGGGGCCGGGTGCTGCTGCGATCCGCGAATCCTCGGGCCAAGCCCAAGCTGCTGATGAACTATCTGTCGCACAGGGACGACGTGCGGGTGGCTGTGAAGGGCATACGCTGGGCCGTGGACGTGAGTCGCACCCGGGCCATGCGTAGGTACGGCTCGGAGCTGCAGGTGAGGCCGGTGCCGGGCTGCTCGGAGCGGCTGGCCCACGACACGGACGAGTTCTGGGAGTGCGCGCTGCGCACCTACACGATGACCCTGTGGCACTTCTGCGGCACCTGCAAGATGGGCAGGGATACGGATCGCATGGCCGTGGTCAATACCAAACTGCAGGTACGCGTGCACTACTTGTGTATATGTAGCTGTACGTCCAAAAGGAAAATGTTGAATGAGTTCTCGTGAATTCGCTAGGTATTATTATCGACGCAATAAAAATTCTGACATAAGTTCTTACGTAAGAACTGCGGTTCGTTTTTGAAGCTCTAAATATCTAATTTCTCGCTAAGAATTTATATTTCGCGCAAGATTTCGATCAAAAGTAAATACAAAATCATCAATCCAGTTTCTTGAAACTGAAATTATTTTTTTTATCAATTTTTTGGTCGAGAACTTACATAAAAATTCATGGAAGTTCTTCTTACATAAGTTAATGCTTAAGTAAGAAATTACCCTCATAACAAAAACTTGTATTGATAATCATACGTAAGATCTTACCTAAGATCTATGAAAGCTCTTGGCAAGAACTCGGATGGGAGCTTATTCAATTTTTTTTTGGAGTATAGCTACTTGATAGCTGGACGGCCTCTATGTTTTTATTATTATTTCTTTCATTCACTCTGACTTTGTTCTCCCGGGCAGGTGAGAGGCGTGCACAGATTGAGAATCGGCGACGCATCGATAATGCCCGAGGTACCCACGGCTCATCTGAACATACCGACGATAGCCGTGGCGGAGAAGCTCGCCGACATCATCAAGTCCGATTGGAAGTCGTCCATGCAGAGCTAGACGATGTAATTCTGTGCGCAGCGAGCGTCGTATCGTATACAAAGAACGAGCGAAATATTCAATTTTACGATTCTCGCTCGATCTGCGCGCGAAGAGGAGTCGACGGCCAAGTCTTAAATGTAATATTAAGAAACGCATATTGTACTTCAACGAAGCAAACAAAAAGATTTCGCTTGATGAAAAGAATAAAAATAAAATAAAATTGTAACGGCCTTGCGCCGATGAAACGATATTATCCTCTCTAACGTTTTGCGCTGGTCGAAGCGCCGAAAATAATTCGATACACTCGCTATAACAACGCTATTACCCACTTGCACAAACAATTTTTAGGCAGGTATATAAAAAAAATGAATAGGCAATCGCAACATAAGCGCACAAATCAAAGTCTGGTCTATACGCGTAAAGAAGCCAAAAAAATTGCAACATTGAAATGGCTCGAGAGCGAGGCGTTACAGGGCGCTCAAGTTTTTTGATGTATAACGCTTTTGCTGCTGCTACTGCTGCTGCCCGTACGAGAAAAAAAAAAGCGCAACTCCTGTACTCTACACTCTCGGCACGTAAGAAGCTCCCCGAGTCGAGAGAAGTTGCCGCTGCACGGCATAAAATAAACGCTCGCCTCGTGTCGGCTCTAGCTCCCCTGGGTATATATAATAGCTGCTGCTGTTACAGGCAGGCATGGGTGCAGGCGCGAGTGGCAACAGTAAAGGATACAATCGAAGCGAATTCGAAGTTTCAAAGGAATGAAAATTTTAATTTCTAGAATCAACATCCCTCGTATACATCATTCGGCCACGATCGAGAGGCAAAACAGCTTTATTTCCCCCTCCAAAATTCTCCCCAAGTCCCTCTCGCCTCATCCCCTAGGTGCCTTCTCGCGCGCAATATTTTTAGCCCTCAGTTGCAGGCCCTCGTAAAATCCGTACTGCTGCCGCCGCACTCGTCTCTCTCTCTCTCTCGTACCTTTTTTGCTCTCTTGGCAGCCCTCCCCCCTCCTCCTCCTCCTTCTGTTCTTTTTCCGTGTGCGTGGGTGGGTGTTTTCTCAGATTCTGGCAGGAAAGAAAGCACACACGGTACACGGCGTGTATAAACTATTTTCCTTGGCAGACACACACACACGCACACGCGCGAGCGAGTGAAAAATAGCTCGAAAATTTTCTGACGCGCGCCCACGTGAAAGCTTAATCGGCCGGACAGCAGCTATAGCTCTGCATGAGCACACGTGTGTGTGTGTGTGTGTGTGTGTGTGTGTGTGTGTGTGTGTGTGTGTGTGTGTGTGTGTGTGTGTGTGTACGTAAGAAGTTGCGACGAGGGGGCATAAGCTTTTATATTCCGGGGCTGGGCTTTTATTTTTTGCCCCGCTCTTTACACAGTCCTTTGGTTGAGGTACAGTAGCTGGCGCGGGGGAATGTTTACTTCCTCTCCCTCTCTCACTCCCCCGAAAATCGGCTGGTACGTCGTAGTGTGTACCAGCCAGCCATGAAATTGCGAGTGTGTGTGTGTGTGTGTGGATTTAACGCTCCGTTTGAGTTGTATACTATGTAAGAGCGCGTCCACTACTGGATGCACACTCAACTCGCTGGACTGTGTGTGTATGTACCGCGTCGTTTATGGGCCTCGCATGTGCTGCAGCCAAGTATACGCGAATATTCCAAAGACTAAGTTAGTATAATAATTTCTAAGACGATGTACTTGCACTTATACCATTATTTTTACTTTGCCACTTGCAGATTTAAAGATATTGATACTCGCCACCTAGCGGTGGAGGCTGATATTATTGTACTTAGAATGGTCAAAAACTGGTCGGATTTGATCAACAATTAAAAAATTGTCACTTTCGGGTCTTTTAAACGAGCTCATTATTTTTTCTAACATTATTGTAACCAAAAAAAAATCGTGCAACAGACACTTTTTGTTCATCGAGTCCTGAACATGGCTACCACAGGGCAATCGAATTAGATTAATTAAAAATCATCCAAACCGATGAAAACCATTCGGAGTCAAAAAATCTGAAACACATCGCAGAGCAGATTTTTCTCGTGGACGCATGCAGTTCTCGACTCCTCGTGCGCTCTCGAGGATTGAACGCGAAACATATTGCAAATCCGCATGGCGTATACGAGAGAGAGAGAGAGCTGGCCAGCTCTGCGCGATAAAAGTTGAGGCCTCAAAGAACGAATTTCAAATGTACATACAGCTCTGCGTACATCTCGTGTACTCCTATTTTTCTTTTTTTTTTTTTTTTTTACTCTCCATGCCTGCAACTCAAAATATGAGCAATTTTTTCCCAGACGTGCGCTACACGCGCTGGTTGAAATTTATATATATGTAGAGAAAAAAAAAGGAGCAAAAACATAGCAACATAGTTCCAATATTTTTTTTCGTCCATTCTGTACACGTCAGCGTGTGCGAATCTCTATATGCGCGCATCGCACGTATATATATAGTTATATAATACTCGTAGCTATACATGTAGCCTTGAGCGTTTACTTCAACATACATATATATTTTTTGAACGAGCCCCGTCATTTTGTTATTATTATTTTTTGTTTGTTTCTCTGCAGGATCATGCAACTCAGCCCTGGGCATGGAGTCCGGGGCGATAGCTGATTCGGCTCTCAACGCCTCGTCGTCGTACGTGGCGAACGTCGGGCCGCGTTACGCCCGGTAAGTATGCAAGTTACCCGAGCTTTCGATTATGCATTCGAAAATCAAGGAGAAACGAGCGAGAAAATTTCTCAAAATCCAGCTACGGCTTCGTACGGTCGTGTAAATCAAAACCAACTTTTCGCTGCCTCGAAAATTTAAGGCCATCGTTGCTTTTTTTTCCAAAAGAAAGCAAAAAAATATTTGCGCGCCAGCGTGACTCAAAAAATGTATTGTGATATATCAGCTCGAACCAGCGTCGAATCGTCGTTACTCATCGAGATTCGTTTTGGGCGTTCTGGACGAAAAAAGAAAAAAATTTTCCGACGAACAACAAAACAAAAACGAAAAACAAAAAAAAAACACGAGAGAGAAGGAAAAACGAAGCCAATCGAATTGACGATGGGTCGTGCTTCATCGACCCTTCGATCGTTCGGACACGCGATGACGAAAGATTGACAGCCGAGACAGTAAATATACACGTACGCGCAGCTATATCTACACAACTGCAGTTCGCGCGATAGATTTATATTCGTACAAAAAAAAAAAAAAAAAAATACGACACGATAGAGAGCGAGAATCGAGGCTTCGCGCGATAAAAGCTTATTTTACGCGCGAGGACAGAGGGAGAATGAGATGCCCCGTAGCCGCTGCCGGCCGCCCGGCAACCAAACAAACTCTGACGCAGATCGAGTGGCATAAGCTCTCTAGACGCTCCTGAGGGACGGGATATATACATCGTATAAAAGACGACGAGTTACTTCTTGCGCGCGAGCTTGAATGACCGATACGTTTGCGCTGTGTTTTGGTTTTCGCCGATCGTATATACATGTTACACACACAGCCCGTCCGGGAGACAATCAATATAGATCGCCAAATCGACTTGCCTGTGTACAGCTTGATGTAAACAAACGACTTCGTATCGTCGAGTGATTTTTCCGTATACGCAGTTTTCATGAATTTTTAAAAATATAATCAACTCCTGCTCTCTCTCTGTGCTTCGAATGCTTTACAGCCGAGACTATTGTCAACGGAATTAATGTATATATACCATATATATACACAACGAGAGTCGCGTCGTTGTCGTCCGTGAAGGCGCGCGCGCGACCCGTAAACTGCCGCACAATATACCGGCACCGTGTGCGCTGTACACATTATAATACGGCGCGTCTATTCAACGCGAGCATTTGCATTTTGGCTCTCGCCGTTCGCGCGCCGAGTCGCTGGAGCAGCTGTTCACGAGTCGCATTCGATTAAACTCATTGTCAATTTCGCGAAATGTATAATAAGTAAATTCGCTTTTCAATTTTTAATGCGCGCCGCCAGTGACGCATCGAAGCATCATCCACCAGGGAGAGAGATATCTGCAAGCTCCACGTACTCGTGAGCGCGCGCGCGTTCGAGTAAAATAAACATAATGGCGGCCTTATCCACATACATACAAGCTATATGTACGCCATTGTGCGCTGCACTTATAATTCATGGTCATTCATCATTCCCATATACATATTATTTTATGTATATAGTATATTCTTCAACTTTTGCGCGCGACTCGCACGTACGCACATACGTTTTAGTATATATACTTGAACGCATTTATGCTTCATTCTGCGGCGATCAATCATTTACCTTACGAGTGTCTCTCTACTGTGAGCTACTGGAACTGTCAAATAGATTATTTATTATGCTCGTTTCGACCCCTCTTATACCATTGGCTTCGATGCAAGCCTTACTTTTTTTCTGTCTCTCTTCTTCTGATGATACATCGAGACTCTCTCTCTCACTCTCTCTTCTTTTTCATAATTCTGATGTACTATTTTACACGAGTTATCGATCTCTATACATTCGAGTCATCATAGAGAGTTGTATTTTTTTTTCGTTTCATTTCGTTTCATATTTTGAACGCTCGACTCGGCTCGATTGGTTCGCGAGTGACGAGAGATCGACGTTAATCCGTGCGGATAGATTTTGATATAAAAAAGAAAAAAAAAATTAAACAAATTTCACGGATACGTATTATACACAATCGGTGCCGCTGCCCCCCGATCCTCCGTGACGAAATTGGATGCAGCAAAAATCACCGACGACCGGGCGAAAAATCGATTGCGATATAGTCGTCGTCGTCGTGTACAATGCTAGGATAGAACGTCCGTATAAATATTGGGTCTTAACGAGATATACGTGGCACGGCCGGCGGGATCAATCGTCGACGACGACGACGACGACGACGTGCAAACAGCCCGTCGCACGACAGTCAAAGTTTTCCTTCCGGTTTCATATTTTCCAGCGCGAAATCCTCTATTCTCGCTTAACAAGCAATCAATTTTTACGACGCAAAGAGGACAGAGGCACAGAGAAGAGAACTCGAGCTTGCAGCGTACAGCTCTCTCATTCTCTCTCTCTCTCTCTCTCTCACGGCTGAACTGCACATGGCGGCGGCGCTTCAGATGTTTGAGCTCGCTCGGAAGATACAGTTTTCCGCCGTTGTACATACGACAAACAACACGTCGATTGGGCTCGAGCGAGCGAAATCAAAAAAATTGCTGGAACTTTGCAGGTTTACGCATGGAAAGAAACTTCTGAGCTTTTTTTGTTTTTGCAACCCCCCCGAGTCGCACTGCGAAAATTCGAATTTAATTTTATCCGTACCGGCTACTGACGAACTGACCAGCACGTCAATGTTTCATAAATTTCGAGGATAACTGTGTGAATCATTCATCCTTTTTGAATTAATCGTTACTTCAAAAAAAAAAAAAAAAAATTACGAAAGTATCAATTGAGTACATCAAAAAGGGGATAAAAAATACGTCGAGCCACAAATAAATAAATATACAGGCTAGCAAGTATGATTTTTTGTCCGCGGCTTTCAATAATTTTCCTCTCTTTCTCTCTCGATCCTTCTATATCCACCTACATACACACACTCACGCTCATCCCCATACAGCAACGAGCTCTAATTCGCACCTACGCCCGCGCGTACACAAAAGCCTCGAGGGCACCTTTATACACTTTGATAAATCGTACATCGGGTAGGAACGAATCGAAAACACAATCCCCCCCGACACGCACAGAGGGGCTCGACCATATATATAAAAGAGTAGTGGGTGTAGAGTCTATACATGGTGTGCGTCATCGACACAATCCTCTCAGCGCGAACACATTCGTCCATTTAATTTGATGACTAGGCTCGGGGATTCCGACGGCGCTACAAAGATGACGCTTTCTAGATAAAACTCGAGCGAGCACCGCCTCCCTATATAGCATGTACAGTGTCAGAGCTCGATTGTGCGAAAAGCTTTCACGTATACATCGTGCGGTATGCGACTAACGAATTTCCCATCGTTGCTCTCGATGGCGGCCGTTGTATACTTTACATTGATAAAATATAAATGATTTGTGTGTGCTGCAAAGAGCCGTATTATGTGTAGTAGGGGGGAAAGACGCGAGATTATACTCGCTCGCTGCAAGTAATGCTTTTTCGCTTCGAATACGATGAAAAAAAATAAACGGATGTCTATGTGGAGTGTTTTGGGCTTGCATTTTCCTTCTGTTCCGTTAATGTTTCGTTCGAGCTCCGAATATTTAAAATCATTTCGCTCGTGCGCGCGCGCGCCCAACCTATACAGCGTTTTTTTCGGTATCAAAAATTTAACAAAAAAAAAAAAAAAANTATAAAAAAAAAAAAAAAAAAAAAAGGAACGAGCTGATGAAAAAAAAAAGAAGAATTTACACGTAAACGATACCACGATCGATACGTACAAAAAATATTTACGCTTTTTTTTCTCTCTGTCTGTGCTTTTCGCCGCATTATGCAGCTTGCGAAAGGAGACGGCCGGCGGCGGCTGGTGTCCCAAGCGCCAGATCGAGGCGAGCGTGCGCGAATGGATCCAGGTGGACCTGGGCGACTGGCATCTGGTGACGCACGTCGAGACCCAGGGCAGATTCGATCACGGCCGCGGCCAGGAGTACAGCGAGGAGTTCACCGTCGAGTACTGGCGGCCCGGATTCGCCGCTTGGCGCCCCTACAAGCTCGCCGATGGACGAGAGGTAATATACATGTATACGAGAGAAGACGATAGTTGCAACATTACGTTCTTTTTTTTTAATCAGCCGAATATTATACCTGTCTTTTTACAGCGGCGAATAATTACCCGATATACCCGCATATACGCGTCAGACACTTTTCCCGAGTAATTTCGAGGATGTATGTATGTATTCCTCTCCGTCTGGAATAGAGAAAAAAACTTTTGTTGCGCGCAAGCTCGCTATTTTTACGGATGTATTATATATTTGAGAGATAAAGCTCAAGCTTTACAGCTCGAAAATAGCAGCAGTAGCAGCAACACACGCGACGTATAATCTAAAATATATTTATTTCGAGCGTATGATGCACGTGAAAATTTCGTCCTTTATTAAACGAGCGAAAATATCATAAATACGAGTATCATTATAAAAGATCGTCGTTAAAAAGTCCATTATCCTTTGAAGAAAGCAAAGAAAAAAAGCAAAATGCATTTTCGCAACGTACTACGTGTATACCGCGGGGCCAAAAATATACGACTTTAATCGCATTAGGTCTTCATTGAATCGTAATTCCGCCTCTCGGGTGTGTGTGTGTGTGCAACGATCTTTCTTAGCGAGAACAAACTGTCTCCCGGCGAAAAAAGGCCAAATTGTCCTCTTTTCTCTCTCTCTCTCTCTCTCTCTTATGCACGAAATATATATCGTGTCTTGTGCAGTGCCCTGTATGCACGTAGTATTGCAGCTTTCGTGTGTACATACGGTCAAATAAATACGTGTTTGTGTGTGTGTGTCTACGTGTGTGTTAGCCTTTACTACTTTTTTCGTATTACTGTACTGGACTAGCTGGTTGGCGCGCTCGTTGGGTTTCGCCCAGCGAGCAGTCCTGCACCAACACACATGCAGACACAGCACAAGCGCCAAGCGTTATTGTGCGATTTATAGAGTTGAACGAGCGGTCGATTTTGCTACTGAACGCCGCGCGCGCGCGCGCGCCCGAATTCACGTGTTCCGTACTGTCCAAACACGTTCGTGTGTCTGTGTGTGTGTGCGTGTATGTGAGTGGTGGGAGTGCATAAAAATTGGATTTTGGATGGCTGGAATTACTGCTGGCATAGAGTGTTTTACGTGCGAAGCTTGTGAATATAGATAAGCATTTTTATTCTTTCGAGTTTTTTTTTATTTTTATTTCCTAGGAGCATTTATTTTATCAAAATACTTTATGGATAGTATGAAATATCAAAGAGAAAGAGAGAGAGAGAGAGAGAGAAACGGAAAAATACATGGAATACAGTGTCAATCACGTGCATATTTATTAGTATGCTTTCGCATATGAAAAAGTCTGACAGCATTCACGCGTACTTAAGGCAACTTTATGTAATAATAATTTTATTGATATTAAATTCATGCGGGTAAAAATTTTTCTACCAGCGCGCAAAAAAATTTTCTACAAATGTAATAAAAAAAACGAAAGATTCGCTCAAAGTTTATAATTCAAAGATGCAATGCACATGAAAAATTATTGTTTTTTTTATAGAATTTAACTTGAATGATATCAAAGTATACAAAAAAAAACTTACCAGACTCCGACACTCGCTTAGAAATAAAAGACCGGTAACGCTTCATTCAGTCGAGCCGAGCAGGAGAGCAAAAAGAAGGGAACAATATTTTTTCGTACACCTGCCAGGGAGCTTTTTCGCCCGAATCAAAAGCATCTTTTTGAGCTTTGAGATTCGTACGACGTCGCATACACGCGCGAATAAATATATCTGAAAGATGATCCGCGAATCCGCCTAATTAACGCGCGCGCGCTTCTAAACGAAGACGCGATGATACTCTTTACGCGCGTTTATGTATTTTTCGAGCGAGTGAAAGCTCGTGTACAGCAGCGCGCCGCAGCTCGAAATCTCGACTGGTAAATTATTCAGCCGATGGTGTCTCGCATCGTCGTCGTCGAAGCGAATAAAATATAAGCCTCTGTATACGTTTCGCAGGTATTCGCCGGTAACGTCGACACGTCGACGGTGGTGACGCGCGAGCTCGTGCCCGCCGTCCTGGCGACGAGGATGCGCGTGCTGCCGCACTCCCAGCACCGGCGCACCGTCTGCATGCGGATCGAGCTCAAAGGATGCCGCTATCGAGGTGAGTTTACTACAGACATACAGACACCCGAGTGCCACGTTAATGCTACTGAGAATATGTATTCGTGTAAATACGCAGCACAGATAGTATCCTGTGTATGAGTGAGTGTGTGTGTGTGTGTGTGTGGGCAACCACACAAACGTGCAAAGGGCGCCGAGACTTTGTACGTTTCACATGATGTGCGTGTTTAGTTTGTGTATAGTGTTTAGTTTTTTTTTTTTTATAACTTGATGAAAAAAATGTACAAATTTTCGATGATTCGAAGTAAACATCGAATAAAAAATTAAGCACACTTTCATCGATCGCTGCGACTCGTGATACGAAGACTGAAGTCATTTAGCGATTCGTTGGTAAAATTTATATATAAATCGAATATATTCGATAAATATCGCGATGTCAAAGATATTTTCATCGTTAATCAACTCTGATACATATTGAAGAATTTTGGAGTAATGATACCAATGATATATAAAATTGAAAACTTGAAAACTATTATTCAGCATGAACTCGTGCGCCTTTCGATAAAACATCCAAAAGTCTCGTGAATTTTCGTCCAGCCGAACCAGGATTACGATATCGGTGAACAAATTTCATTCCATGAAGTTCGCTGTCTCGGCGACGACACGAGCACGAACACCCCCTTAGGTCATCATCAGTTACGTGCGTGTCTGCAGACGTTTTATTAAAACCCAAAAAAAGAAGCTCTCGAGTTCGACTGTGTCCTTTTTTTTTCCTCGAAGATATCTCTAGCTCGCAACTCGCGCAAGTTCATAAAAGGTGCTGTCTTCGTGCAAGAAACTTTCTTTTTCTTTTTTTTTATAATAATATATTCCTTTGTGTCGAATCAATCTGATGCAGGCTGCAATAACTTCATAGAGAGAAAAACTCGTACCTATCATTTGCTTGCTCCAGCTCTCTGACATCGGGAAGAGATTTTTTCCTTTAACCCCGGGTCGGATTTCAATTTTTCTAAAATCTTCCTCACTCGCATCTACGAGTGCGCGCGCCATCGGTGTACGTAAAACTTTGAAATGAAATTTCGCATCGTTACACGCACGCAGCATATTTTTTTGTCGGATAACGTATTATATAGCGTATGATTGAAAAATTTCATTACATACCCTTGCTGTCTTGATCTGCAGTAATGGTTCTCTTCGATCAATGAACCGCATATTGACTAATCGATCATCGAGTTTATTTCGCTAACCAAGCTGCCTTTAAATCTGAAAATAAATTCAGATTATAGTATAGTTTCTGTTTGAATGACCTCCAAGTAACACTGTGAAAAATATTTGCAATTTTCAAGTCATTTTTAAGAGTAAAATTGTACGATGCAATTTTTTTAAATTACAGTTGCGCCAATTCACATGTAGATGGCATATCTAATACCTGCAAGTATACGAATGTCGTTGAGTATATACTAATATATGAATCGATGAGTCTGTATGTGTCTACGTAATCAGAAAGAGTTATTTTTATTAAACATAAATTAACTAAACTGAATTAACTAAAAATTCATTGATTCAATCAAACTTTTTTCTCGATGTAACATCTGCTAATCTGCTTGTAATTTGTACGAACGAGGATTAACGGTATTTCAAAATAAACGATCATGGCATCGAGATAGTTTTATCAAATGTCATAAGTAATTGATCTCCCATGAAAATCAAATAGAAATCGCAGCAATGCTGAACGATCGACCTCCCCCTCACCCGTGAAAAGTCCGAAAGTCAGCGAAGCGTAAACACGCGTACGAGTTTCAATTCATTGCCCTCTCTCTTTCTCTCTCTCTTTCTCTCTTTCGTTTTCTCGTTTATCTCGTTCGAACCTCGATCTTTGATTCTTACCCTCCCTCCGCTCCAAGACTTTTTTTTTCTCGTGCCAATCCAATCTTCCTGGTTCTATATTCCGGATGGGAAAAGCTTTAATTGCCGCGTAGCAAAGGTATTTCAACGTGCCGCGCGCGGCGATAGATCGAAAAGAAAACTTGGCGCGCGTGCGAGAGAGTCGTTTTTTTTTCACCCAACTCTTTATACTGCCTTAGTTGGTGCAGTAGTTGGCTTTTGTATCAAAAATAAAATAAAAACACGGCGAGAAATAGCCGATGACGAGCTAAGTGCTTTTATTAATTAACCTTGCATTGGAAAATTTTTAATTAGTGCGAATGAAAAACACTCGGGATTTTCGAAAAATTTTCTCAAGAAAAATATTATTGCTCTCTCACGATATTTCAGTTTTAATGCGAACATTTTACTAATTTTTGATAATTGAAAGGTTTCCTTACTCATTCGATGTCTTGCAAATATAGAATGAGTTTATTTTATTTTTCTATTTTAAATATTGAAAAATTGGTTAAGAAAATCGGGCACAGATAAAGAGAAACATCGTGTGTTGTCATTAACTTGAATAGATAAAAAATATTATGCGTGAATGCAAACGTTTTCAAACGTTAGATATACTGATGAAAAACAACTTTCAATTTAAAGCGATTATATGCATTATACATTATAACTTTGCTAAAGTTTCCATTCTGTTTTTAGATTCAAACATTTTGACTAAAAACTGATGTTTTATTACTGATTTGATTTTGGCGTTAATTGCTCAAAAAGTATGAAAACTTAATCATAATTAAAACCAATCTTCATCGCTAGATGGCGAGTACTATTCATTTGTAAATTCACAAGTGACAAAGTAAACATAATCATATTTAAGTAAGAGCATGTGTTTTAGAAAGTATACATATATCGGTGTGACTGATTGTTTTAAAATAATCACAGACATAAAAATGAAGCCATTTTATACGACCTCTATTCAAATTGAATCAAGTGACATCTACAGTCAAAATATCAACTTTTTCAAGGGACGACTGAAAAATTGACACGCACGAAGCGCGTCTGAAAGTTACGAGTACATAATACTGGCAAAGTCTCGTTTTCACGGCTTGTCACAGCGGGAGGAAATAGTCTCCCGAGGAATATTAAAAAGTCAATACTAGAAAAAGTGTTTATTTTTATCGCAGTATCACATTTTAAACCACTACAACAATAAGCAATAGCAATAATGATTATAATTAAGTGCTAACAAACAGCGGAATGCGTAAATTACCGCTGTGCTATGTGCAGGGCAGTTTAACCACACACACAGAGCCTCCCCCCGCCGGGCTTAAGGAGGCATTTCTATGCACTAATTAGAACAATCAGTCGGTCTGATATAAGCAATCAATGCCACCGCGTAATCAATTCGAATGGGATGGAGGAGAGATGGATCGATGCGCGTTGCAGCATTGCGAGCTGGAGGAACCTTAATTATTCAGCCGAGCGCAAACCTTTTCATACACATATACATGTATATAGCGTACATATAGAAGATAGACGTATATAATGTCGTCCCTCGCGTTCTCTGCCATTCGGACAACTTGAAATAGATGAAAGATTTTTTTCATCCTCTACCGCTAGATGGCGAAGTATCTATATCAATCAATCTGCAAGTGGCAAAGTGAAAATAATACTATAAGTCAAAGCACTGTTGGGTAAACAGTATTATTATGTACACAATTACATATACAAATTGTATTATCTACAAATAAATAAATGTAAAAATTTTTTTGGTGGTCATTAACTGGATGAGACGTCGATTTACATACGACCAGTAAATGACCGATTTTTTGAGAATACAATCAATTATAAAAGTTAAGTTTGCTAATAATCTACTTGTACTGATTTTTGCATCAAATCAATTTAAACTGAACCAGTAACAATGATTTATGATTAGATTCGATTATTAAAACAAAAGGCAACTTTTCAATTTCGATAAAACCTTGTAGAAAAGTATATTGGTCATTCTCTGGTCATTCTCTGGTCATTCATTAGCGTTTTCGTGGTGACTCATGAAATCGTCATTTTTAATAATATAAACGACGTAAAAATGATTTTTAAATATTTTTAATCGATAGAACATTTAATTAGCTACGCGATGATCCATTCAGTTTTTTTAAATGCGATTCAAACATTGAAAAATAAGAATTCTGTCATTCACTGGACGATTTACCCTACTTAGCTCAGACATTCTGAAACTTTGAAGCAGATTTTTGAAATTCAAGCATTAACAATAACGTTATGAAATTCAAATAATCGAATTTCATTTGATCCACTTGAATGTATAATACTTATTTCGCCAAACGCGTGACTTTTACTTAAAGAAATCAGTTAATTTTTCTCATTCGACTTATTAATTCTTCAAAACACTAAATACCACATCTAATAGATGGTCCTTTTAACTTTTTCGACGCGATTAAAAAATTTACATATCAATTTTCGAAAATACACCCAACTGCCAACGTCTAAAGTCGGTGATTTAGGTTTAGCTAAGGATGCACCACACGCGGGCTCGAATCATCGTCACGATATAAAACCCAGGAGTGGAGCTTTTTATGCACGAGTGGCAAATGATGGTATACCCGCGCGTAACGGCGTCACGGAAATATTCGCCTCCGCGCCAAGAAATTGTTGCTACAGTTATGTGGTTTGCGGCAGTAGTATAGCAGCTGCGATGCCAATTTATGGAAATGGAACGCGTATGCGAAATCGACACTTTTCAGCCTATTTTTCGTACGAATATATTATTCGTACTCTATTCGTCCGAAATTATTTACTTTGAAAAATGTAAAAATGTTAGATGCGTCAAAAAATTAATTGGGCATCAAAAGCTCGTCGATTAAAGGACAATACGAAGCGCTCTCGCCTTGCAGCTTTGACGCAGAGCGAGAAAATTAATTTGCTCCTGCGCGGCTCAAATTTTTAACCCTCTCCCTCTCGGTGTAAGGAAGCAGCGGCAGCAGCAGCAGCTCCGCTTATTAAACGAAACGCGAACAATTACGCGGCGAGGCTTATGTATTTTGCGCGCGGCACATAATACAGTACGCGGCGCGCACGACTTTTTGTGCCGTACAGCAATATCTCCGCTCGCGTTTACAATGGTATACGGAGCTTGCGAGCTCGAGTCTACTTGACGGCGCGGCGCTGCGCGGAAATGTGCTCAGCTGCTTATAGGCGCGCGGTGGTGACATTTACATTTTACTCGGTCGTAGCTGCAGAGATTGTAATTTCGAGGGACCGCTTTGTGCGCGCGGCTCGATGCGAAATGGCTTCAATTTGTACAAGCCCCACGGGCACACGTGTATCTATAACTAATACCGCGTGTCTCTTATATACACCTTTTTCATCTTCAACTTTTTTCGCGTTCAATTATTCAACGGCCACTCGTTTATATCTGGAAAAATTTAATTGGAAACTATTATCGACTGGGTAATTCACGATATACAATACACGTGTGTACACGCGGAGTGTATATACCGCGTATATAAATATGAATCGACGCTCGACGTGAAATATTCAACCAACGGTGCATTAAAAAATTAGCCAATTAATTTACTCGACAAATAAGTTGATATAAACGGCGCCGCCGCGCGATATACATAATACGAGATTTCGATGGATGCGTTGTATCGCGTGTGCATTATCGCGTTGCGGCTGCTCTTTGGCTTCTCTGCACCTTTTATCACCGATATGCACACGTATTATATCGAGAGCTATGTGCACTTATAAAATTAACGAGCGAATTATGCCTCCTTTGTGGATATACTTAGCGCGTCGCGCATCTCGTCAATCGTCGTGTTAATAATAGGCCGCGTTCGTACGAATTAATTATTCGGATCTAAATTAGGCATTTAGCTTATCGAATGTTCGATTATTCAGGCGAAGAAATTGACGTACCGCAGCGTGACATAATATACACGGAAATGGAGGAGGAAAAAAAGGTAGTCGTATCCGAGCACGGAACTTATTTGACACCGCGGACTAGAGGATGTAAGCGATAAGGCGAAAGAGAAGTCGACTTTTTTAATATATGTTACGATAATTACTCATTCGCTTGGCCGAGCGCCTATATTTTAGCGAAACTCGTTCTTTTTTCTTTCTCTCCGGTACTCTCGGATAATAAAAAACGCGCCCCTAATCGTACTTATATAGTTTCCCACTCGTAATAATGTCTTGCCGCCCGAAGCTCTCACCCACCCATCCTTCCTTATACCTTTAAGTTTTATCCCCGAAAAGCCCTGACGAGATAAGACCCGGCGCGCGCTCGACTGCGCGCGCGAAAATGCGATCAGTTTCGTTGAGGAATTATGGCGTGTTAGAGGCTGCTATGCGGCTGCTGTTGTTGTTCTTGCTACGTTTGAGCAACGTGTTTACAGCGTCGAGACAGAGAGAGAGAGAGAGAAGAAATCTTACGCGTGTTCGGGCTAAAGCTGAGGGATTTTCGTCGTTGTTGTTTTTTTTCAATGTGTGTGTGTGTACTGACGCTGCTTTATGGTATCAGTGAAATTTGTCTTGCGTCTGTTCGCCGACGACGAAGAAAATTACGGTCGCTTATAATTGATAATTCTAATTTCTTGAAAAGCAAAAAAAAAAAAGACTAAAACAAAAATACAACGTGCCAACAGGTGGCGTGGTCTCGTACACGATCCCGGACTCGCCGGTCGAGGAGCTGAGCGACACCTGGTACGACGGCGCGAGAGAGTCGGGCGTGCTGAGCGGCGGCCTCGGCCGACTCGTCGACGGCGAATACGGCCTCGACAATTACAGGCTGGAGATGGCGCCCGGCCGAGGCACCGGCTGGCTCGCCTGGATGCGCGACAGCTTCTCCGACGACTACGTCGAGCTGGACTTTCACTTCGACGATCTGCTGACGTTCGACGCGGTGCATCTGTACACCAACAACTACTTCAAACGAGACGTTCAGGTAAAAACAAACAAAAAAAAATTCCCCTTCATCGATCAGCGGCATTAATTTCACATCGCGCGTATGTATCCACCGCGAAATATTTTCAACTCGAAATTTGCATGTGGAATGCGCATGATACGATTCGTTTGAAAAACGTACATATGTACCGAGACTCGATGCTCGCCGACCACGACCGCATCAATTTGTAAAAAATTACTCATTCCCACGCGTGCATATGTACAATCGGATCCGCGTTGAAACAGAAAAAAAAGAGAGGAAAAAAATGTAAAAGCTTCCAGTGGTATATAATCGCTCTCGACGCACAAAAAGCTCGTTTTTCTTTCGCGCAATCATTCGAGTCAAAATTGACCGAGGTATTATGTATAAAATATTGGCACGTATTCATATATGTGCATCTTTTCTCTTTGACAGAATCGATTATTAAGTCGACCCAGTTCGCGCAACAAATGATTGCGGCGCGCAGCATCGACGTCGCGCCGCGCGGCAGCAAAAGGCGCTTTATACGTATACTGTGTTTTGTGTTATAACGCAGATCAATACGCGAATTTCATACAGTATCAATGAAAATGTATGTATACATCGTCGGCCGTCGGTATATATACGAGCCAGATACGGGCCAGATAGAAATTTCTCCACTTCCAACTCTCTGGCACATATATCCGCGCGTAACGATCCTACAACATACTTCTGCTACGTGTAGCGCATTACATCGCATGCGCTCGAACGAAAATTCGACCCTCTGAATTTATCACGATGATTTCGTCGTCGTGGCGCAGGTATTCGCTCGGGCGGACATCTGGTTCATCGATGCAGGAGCAGCAGCAGCAGAGACGACGGACGAGTCGTCCCCCAGCAGCAGCACCGCCGCATCGACGTCGACGACGACTCGGATCGTCGACGTAGAGCTGCCGAGCGAGCCGGACGTCTCGTACGCGTACATACCGGACACGAATCTGGAGAACGCCCGCAACGTCTCGATAGCTCTGCACGGCAAGCGGGGCAGATCGTGCAGGTTCCGGCTCTACTTCGCCGCCAGGTGGATAATGATCTCCGAGGTCACGTTCGACTCGTGTAAGTATACATACGCATATCGCGAAATTTCATATACGCGATCGATGGCATCGTCATTGCGACGATACTGAGCTACGATATGATCATAACATTATATATATGGACGATTCGTTAAAGTTGGTCCCGTGGTTTATCCGCAGGAAAATTTGCGAATATTTTTAATGGAGAAAGTTCCAGCGTATTTACCTACTATTTTCTTATATACATACATATATAACTTTATTCGACCGATATTCGAAAGATCGCGAGCAGAACAATCCCGAACGAGAGAATATATTGCTGCCTGAGTCAATATGATCGTCTCGTTTGTTTTCCATCAGAGGCGAATAAAATGTGGCCGATAAGCGCGACTTTTCTTCGGAGGGGGGGATCTTTACTCAAGCTCTGTCCAATCTGAATGTATACCCGTGAGGATGCAAAAAAAGGAGACGGTGCGTTGGAGAGCCAAAAAGTTTGGTAAATGCACGTAATCATGATTAGAAAAGGACTACGATATAGATACGGCGAAAATTAATTTAAAACCTTGGACGAAGGTACACGATTGCCATGACCTTGTTTCGCGCGAGTTCGAAAGGTGTTTTTTTGAAGACGATAATAATAATAATAATAATAATGATGATACTTCATTGGCACAGGGAATCCCCGAGCGAGAGAAGTTACGACCGAGGAAGCGGCCGCGGCTACCACGCTCGAGAGCGCGTCGGCTTCGGCGGGAGCCGCCGAGGACAGAGCTCAGCTTGGCCAGGACGCCGATCTCAATTTACAAACGAGTGAGTATGCGACGATCCTCTCGTCTTTTTCAAAAGACAAACAAGCCGAGAAGTGCAGCTCGTTTAATTCAAGCTCGAGCTATTCTCTTCATCATCATCTTCTTCTTCTTCTTCTTCTTCTTGTTCTCTTTCGTCGCTTCAGCTCTCAGTTCTCTCTCTCGCTCAGCTGCACGCTGGAAATCGCATAGATTTACCGATCCCCGGTGGTAATTAGCTCGTCAACTGGGAGGGTTTGCGGCCGCAAAATCGACTCGTCGTTATAACTTCATTAAGAAAATGAGGCGCGCGCAGATGCGATTATACATGTATATACGTATAAGATCGAGGCGCAAAAGTGAATCCAGGCGACGAGCTTAGCCCCCGAGAAAAGTCAGTGAGAGAGAGAGAGATAGAGAGAGAGCAAAACTTGGGAATGTAGAGGAAAAGGAGAGAAACAATTTGCCCAGTAGGCGGCCCTGCCCTGTATACACGCGCGGCGCACTTTATAATTCGCTCTCGGGGCGCGCGCGCGCAACTTTCGCGCAACGTAAACAATTAGCCGGATTAACTGCGAGAGTAAGAGAGTATAAGGCACACGCGCTCTACCGAGCAGCCGGATGAGGGCCCGGAGGAAGTTTAAATACGACGGGCGAGTAAACGGGGTTGTAAGGTGGGCTATGCGCCAGCCTCGCACAGCTCACGTAGGAGAAAAAATATATATTTTTTTACGCGCGGCAGACGCGCAGTTGCTCCCTTTTTTTATTCTATTTTTTCCCCGTACCCTTTGCCTCGTTCGATTCTTTCTTCTTTTCTCTTTCTCTTCTTCTTTTTTACTTTGAACCATGACCTACGCGCGCGCGCCTCGACTTACACAAAGTGACACGCAAAGTTCGACGTTTGAAACTTTTTGATTACAGCTGCTGCTGCTGCGCTCACGCGAGAAAACCAAAGGAATGAATTTCCGTGGGTTTGACTATCTGTTAATTAATGCGCGCGTTAATTTTCACGCGGCTGCAACGATGAAGACAATCACTAGTTGTAGTTTCTTAAATTAATATCACTAGATTTAATTACCAACGAATGTAAGTTCGAGTCTAATACGAGCTTAGTTGAAAAAAATATTTAGTCATTCAATTACACAAACAATACGCGGAAGTATAATATAATTCATATACATAATTGATCAAAGTTGATCGATTGATGCAAAATAATTAGATAGATCAGCTTTTATATCGGCCTTTGCAACTGTTAAATCTTTGCGTGCGTCAATTTTGGGAGGCCAGTCGAAATTTGATGCGGGGATCTTCTGACGAGCAGCAATTACTTGAAAAAAAATTAAATAGCCATTAAATAGGATGTTGAAAGTTCGTTTTTTGAAAAGAACGGTATTTCAAAGAACAAATGCACGTGAAACCGTGTTGATATTTCAGTTCTTGTTTGAAAAGACAATAAAAGATTTTCATAGTGACGACCAAGTGAATAACAGTTTGAAAAGGTTTATTGTTCATGACAATAGTTATCTAATATTACATAGAGTATAACCAGTTTGATTACAAATTTTAAATAAATTTCATACTTCTAATGTTTGTTTTCCTTATGTACTGCATTAATGTGATTTTCGAGACGATTCTTGCGGTCAAATGACTGGTGACAAGTCTCACATTCAAATTTTTTCCGTTTATGAGTTGAACTTACGTGAGATTTGAGTTTACTCTGGTATCCAAATAATTTTTGACAAATATCACACTCGAAAGTTTTGCTACTCATATGTACTGCACTCATATGCATTTCGAAGTTGTTTTTAGATCCAAATGATTTGTGACAAGTATCACATTCAAAGGGTTTGCTCCGATTATGTACGTTCAATATGTGCCGATTGAGTACACTCTGGTATCCAAATGATTTTTGGCAAATCGCACATACGAAAGGTTTGCTGCGTTCATGTACTGCCATTAGGTGCCTACTGAGATCAAACTTTTGTCCAAATGATGTGTGACAAATATCACATTCAAAGGGTTTTTCCTTACAATGTACTAAATTAACATGAGTTTTAAGATGATGTTTATGTCCAAATAATTCGTGACAAATTTCACATTCAAAGGGTTTGCTCCGATGATGCACTGTTTTTATGTGCATTTTACGAGAACTTTTTTGGCTAAATGATTTGTGACAAATGTCACATTCAAAGGGTTTACTCTGATTATGTACTTCATCAATGTGACTTTTGAGAACACTTTTTTGGCCAAATGATACATGACAAATATCACACTGGAAGGGTTTGTTTTTATCATGTACTTGCTTCACGTGTCTTTTGAGTGAACTTGGGGTACTAAACGATTTATGACAAATTTTACATTCAAGTGATCCATCGTCCTTATTCGTCGTTTCTATTTGTCTTGTTAAATTCGATTCTTCCCCAATGGTAAATCGATGGTTCTTCTCATAATCGAATCCTTTTTTAATTAAAATTGTAAGCCTTTTTCCATTCGAGTCATTTGTTGGATTTTCTTCCTTTACAGTAGGTTGGCAGATGGTCGTCAATGAGGGCTTATGTTCCTGTTTTACCAATACGCTCTCGCATTCTATCAGAATATCCTCATCTTTCTTCTGCTGCGAGGAAATACAGTCATTGGTTGGATTTGCCGATGATTCATTCGTCGATGATTCATCAGGGTTTTCGACTTTGCAAATTTCTAATTCATGTGATCCATCGTCCTTATTCGTCGTATCTATTTGTCTTGTTAAACTCGATTCCTCTCCAATGGAAAATTGACGCTTTTTTTCGTAATCGAATCCTTTTTTAATTAAAATTGTAAGCCTTTTTCCATTCGAGTCATTTGTTGGATTTTCTTCCTTTACAGTAGATTGGCAGATGGTCGTCAATGAGGGCTTATGTTCCTGTTTTACCAATACGCTCTCGCATTCTATCAGAATATCCTCATCTTTCTTCTGCAGCGTCGAAATAGAGTCATTGGGGGGATTTGCCTAAAATTAAAATTGTGTTATAGTTTTTTTAAGGTGGAAATCAGAACATAATTTCAAAAGATAGTTCTTACCGATGATTCACTCGTCGATGATTCATCAGAGTTTTCAGTTTTCACCAAGAACTCCGGATTTTCTTCCTTTACAGTAGCTTGGCAGATGGTCGTCGATAAAGGCTTATGTTCATGTTTTACCAATACGCTCTCGCAATCTATCAGAATATCCTCATCTGTCTTCTGCTGCGACGAAATACAGTCATTGGTAGGATTTGCCTAAAATTAAAATTGTGTTATAGATCTTTTATGGAGCAATTCTGATCATAATTTCAAAAGATAGATCTTACCGATGATTCATCAGAGTTTTCGGTTTTGCAAATTTTTAATTCATGTGATCCATCGTCCGTATCCGTCGTTTCTATTTGTCTTGTTAAACTCGATTCTTCTCCAATCGTAAATTGACTGTTATTATCGCAATCGGATCCTTTTTTATTTAAAATTGTAAGCCTTTTTTCATTCGAGTCATTTGTCGGATCTTCTTCCTTTACAGTAGGTTGGCAGATGGTCGTCAATGAGGGCTTATGTTCCTGTTTTACCAATACGCTCTCGCAATCTATAAAAATATCCTCATCTTTCTTCTGCTGCGTCGAAATAGAATCATTGATGGGATTTGCCTAAAATTAAAATTGTGTTATAGTTTTTTTATGGAGCCATTCCGAACATATTTTTATGGTGGAAATCAGAACATAATTTCAAAAAATAAAACTCACCGATGATTCATTCGTCGATGATTCATCAGAGTTTTCAGTTTTCATCGAGACCCGCGGATCGACACACTCGTTGACTACATCTTCACAATTGTCATGCGGTTCCTCTTTAACACTATAGAAAAGCGATTGTTTAAAAATATATTTTTGGCAATCGTAAAAATGTGTTTACCTATTTAAATCCTTTCTGCTTTCCATCGCTTCGTTACAATAATTTATCTTGAAATTATTCAAAATTAGATGCCTCGAGTAGCCAACACCGAATCTTATTTTCACCAATAGACTACAGCAGGAAAAGATTAATAGCGACTGAGTGTAAACAGTTTTGTACAACGATGAGTATCCACTGACATGTAATTAACATTATACCCAGATGACAGATCGTAATGAAAATATCATTCACTTAGGCGCACAATTAGCTTACACGAACGGGCGATGTGTGCGAAGAAACGATAGCACAAAAAGTATCTTTCAGTTTACTAGTCACGAAATTCCGGGAGCATAAAAACATAGAAAAATTAACCATCGTCTCAGGCTTTAGAAGCTGTTAATCCTTTGATGCCTCAAATTTTAATCGTAGGCATGAATTTCCAATTTTCAAAAATTATCCAGCTATTGATTCTTACGTAAAATGTCATGTTTTTTTTCTAAATTCAATATTGCAATGTGCAATATGAAATGGCAAAATCATTGAAATTGCTGTAGAAAAATTATATTTTAGAAAAATTGATCGAGAACAAAATAGCGATATAGTTTCGATACAATATTTGCGAATGAAGAAAGTGCATGTAAAAAAAAATTTATTTATCTTTCACGCGACTTGGCTCGTTTCGACTAATTAAAATATGTAGGTCAATGCAATATTTACGCGAGCGAATAATATAATTCGGCGATTACTTTAATTTTTAACACTGAATTAAGGCTGAAATTCGACGGTGTGTGTATAAAATAATAGGCCAAGCTTTACGGAGGATGGTAGAGGGTTATTACGATACAATTGAGATTTACATAACAACGGGATATTCGTCGAATAATTGCGAGTTTAAAATGTATAATGTAACGTAAATATCAGCGGATTAAACGGCGAGCGTGAGCGCCTAGCAAAAAAGAGAGCTTCGCATTTATCTTCGCATTTTCCTTTTCTCCACCGAAGTCGATGCAGAAATTTACCCTGCGCTTCTGTGAAAGGGTGGAAGATATTTTGACTCGTGCTTGCTTTTGAGGTATTAATATTTTTAAAAAAATAAAACAATAACGATGGTATGTCTGTCGTGCGCAGTCACCGCCCGCGAAGAGGACCAGGAATACGTGGAGGTACTCATCGGGGTGCTCACAGCGATAACGCTCCTGCTGCTGCTCGTCTTCCTCGTCATTCTGTGGCTGAGCAAGCGTCAAAAGCTCCAGACCTCGCCCACCGTCTTCAAGAATCCGTTCGGCTTCGCCATCAGCACGAAGGATTTTCTGCTGAATCTCGGGCTCGGTCGCTTGCTCGCCGTCGCAACCGCCGGTCGTAGCAATAATAATAATCATCATCATCATCATCATCATCAGCGCGAGGAAGTCGTGGCCGGTGACGATGACGACGACGACGACGAGGATGACTACGACGCGGAGGACGACAACGAGAAGTACGACGACGAGATCGAGACAGCGAACATCGTGAACGTCGGTGCAGCGGATCATCGACCGGAGGAAGAACTGAGCCAGGAGTCGCTCGCGATGGAGCAGCAGTTGAATTCTCCGCTGGTCGACGCCAGCTCGCAGTACAACAGGTCCACCTACGCCGTCGTGGCCACTAGCGGTAGGTACAGTTTTTTTCTAGCCTTATACGTACAACGTAACGTGTAGCGTAAAGTGAAAATAATGCACTACAGGCTTCGGAGAGCCAAAACATGCGCGTGACCCATTAAAATATATGATTACAGCGACAACAACGGCCCCATGCAGTTTCTGGCGAGCCTCGTCGCGTCGTAAAAATCAAAAGATAGCGTGACTTTACTGTGTGTGTACGTATGGTCATCGCCTTGTGGTGGGCCTGCAGCAGCCGTGTATATAACGTAGCTGTAAAAAAAAAAAAAAAAAAAAAAACGAAAAAGCTCGCGAGCTCGAGCGCTACGCCATGCCCGCAGTGCTATATGCAGCCGCCAAATTGAATACCTCGAACATGTGCACGTATATAAAGCACGAAAAGACTCTCGGCCCCCCCGGCTCTTTATATATACGCGACATGCAAAAGAGTATCGATCGATCGCTCGACGTATACGCGCGCCGCGGCTGCTATATAAACGCGAATTGAATTACGCGGGCCTGAAATTATTTTCGAGCTTTGTTTCGTACTTACCGTGTGTTTTTGCGCGTATTACAGACGGTCCAGCGGCGTTTCACGAATTACAACAGCAGCAGCAGCAGCAGAGAAACAGCGTGAATAAAAGCGAGCTTCGTTCGAGCAAGAGCTTCGAGAGAGGTGGCTTGTACGGCGCGTGCAACAACAACAACAACAACAACAACGGCAGCAACAGCAGCAGCAGCCGCTCGGAATCGGGCGGGGCGAACTACGCGTCGACGTCCTGCAACAACACCGTAGTCGGCTCGAGTCGATCCTGCTCGCCGGCCCACTCGGTCTCGCATTACTCCTCGTCTACTACGTCTGCCAAGCAGCAGCAGCAGCAGCAGCAATATTATCGTACCCTGGGCCACCAACACCACCCAGGCCAGCACCATCACGGCCAGACGAGGTATTACGGCGTAGTCGGTGGCTCGACCGCTGCTCTGGCCCAGCCGATCTATCAGCAGCACCATCATGGGCATCATCAGATGTCGTCGTCGGATCTCGAGTGCTCGTCGTCGTCGCCGACTCCGATGAAGCGCTGGCAAGCCTCCGCCAAGGTATTTCAGTCAGAGAGAGATTCTCATTAATTTGTCGTTGGAGAGAGCTTGAATCGCTGCATATACTCGAAAAAGCTCTACCCAATCGGAAATCGGATTATATAAGACATACTTTTATTCGAATTTTATAACATTACTTGATTTTTCGACTCGTCTATCGTTAATTTATAAAAAAAAGAATAGAACTAATAATTGTGAACTTTCCGAAGGTACCACCACCGCCATCAGCAGCAACAGCACCACCACCACCACTGGTCAGATGGAACATAGGCCCCTGCCAGGACCAGCTGCAGTTTTACGCGGGTAAGGAGGTCGAGCCGGCCGTCATACCGGCACAGTGTCTACGCACCATGGAGAAACTTGGTTCCGGTCCTATCGGTGAAGTACGCACACAATTATATGTTATATATATAACGCTCGCTATCGAAAGGGGGGCAACGAGACTCGATCCCATAGTTGCCTCTCTCTCGTACAAACTTACTACTTACCATCCCTTGCTTACGTTCGCTCGTGTATATGTGTGTGTGTGGGTATGCAGCTGGATGCGAGTTTGCTGGCATCGCAAGCCGCGAGAGAAACTTTTCAGCCTCGAAATTAGCCCTCTCTCTCTCAGGAGGAACTTGGCTCGCAGCACTCACATACACACACGCGCTTATATAACACATAAAGAGCTCTCCCTCTCTTCCTAGTCGATCGATGTAATTTCGGGGTTCCGAGGAACGCCGCTCGCGGCTATGATCTCGCAGTTATAACCAACCGCACTGCACGTATTACGTATATATATACACCTATAGGCCACATGCACCTCGACTATACGCGAGAGGATATTAGCGGCTTTGGACGCTATATATGCGTGGACGGTATAGTACAGCTTCGAGTCTCTTGCGTTAATATCGATCGACCATATTATGCGAGCTAGTTCAAACTTATCCCCCTATCGAGATCCTTTAATTTCACGATATATATCGTTGGTATTTAAAGGTAATCGTGTGCGAGATGTCGGGCCTCGACGAGCTGCTCCTGTACAAATCGTCGTCGTCCTCGTCGTCGTCCTCGGCCGAATCGCAGCAGCAGCAGCAGCAGGCTATGAACTGCCCGAGGCTCTGCACAGCTCGAATACCGATCAATGGCAGCAACGATCATCCAGCCGAAACCAGCCAACAGCTGACGACGAGCTGCTCGACCTTGACGACGATCGGCGACGGCGGCGGTGACGATCATCGTCACGATTACAACGTCGGCGAGGCGATGCGCGAGATCCGTCTGCTGGCCGGCCTGAGGGACTCGAATCTCGCCCGGGTCCTCGGCGTCGTCTTCGTGTCTTCGCAGGACCAGCAGCAGCAGCATCGGGTGCCCTGGACGATCCTCGAGTACACGGAGCTCGGCGATCTCGCGCACTACCTGCAGTACAGCGAGCCGCTGATCGTCGGCGCCGCCCAGAGGCCCAACTGCAGCCTCAATCTCATCAGGTATATACGTAATATAAAATATATCATTATACTGTATAATGGCTGCAGCGTACAGGTGCATATATTACACGAGGAAAGTGTAACCTCGATTCTCTTCTATTGTTTTTTTCCTTTTCGCTCTATACCTGTACGTATAATAATACTACTATAGCCGCGGCGCGTAATTTCAGCGATTTATGGTCGCGAGCCTAGATTTCGTGCACTTATACATACACACACGCGCGCGTACCTACACAGATCTAACGTATGCATGTATGAGCGCAGCTGAAATCAATTTTTCGGCGAGCACCGATAAGGCTTTTACGATGCCTCGACAGCAGCAGCAGCAACAACAGCAGTAGTAAAGTAAGCCTACGTCGTCGTCGTCTCTGCTGTTGTTGTTTCTTTTTTTATATAGAGCACGTTGACTTTTATTATTATCGTTTCTCGTGCGCAGCGGCGGCCAAATCGCAGCACACCCCCGCACACGTTACGTATTGTTTTTTCGCTCCTCGACTTTTTCACGACGCTACGTATACATACACACAACGTTACAATGCATAATTCGTCCTGCTCTCTCTCTCTCTCTCGGCTTACGATGTCGTGCCGATAATTGACGCGCGGGTGGTGGTGGTGGTGTACGTTCGTCGTCGTGCACTGCGCAGCGAGCGAGATCGCGACCACCACCGGGTTATTGAAATAAATCGACGCGGCGCGCGTGATAATGGCCGGGTAATGATGCACACCGTACGTTAATTATACATATGTATACGCGAACCACGTACAGAGACCGGCGCGTTGCACACGACGTTCGCACTCTCGAAATATTATTAAGGTCCGTTCCTTTTTATTTTTTTTTTTTCTATTATTCCGACATTAAGTTTCATACGTTGCGGTTAGCCCCGTTGAAACGGCCATTAAATTCGACTTGAAAAAAAGCCCCCTCGCGCGCTCTCTAATTACACGCCGTGTATAGGTCATTGATTCGATTTTAAACGCGCGCTAACGACTCGTTGGCGTGCGCGCGCGCGACGCTTTTTCATTTACATGCATATAATATAACAAAAGTCACTCTTATGATATATCAAAAAGAAATTATATTTTTATACGAATAAAAAAAAATGTCGTTCGCAACCAGCCAAAACTGCCTGCTGTACATGGCCGCCCAGATAGCCTCGGCCATGCGTTACCTCGAGTCGAAGCAGCTCGCGCACAGGGACCTGGCGGCGCGCAACTGCCTGCTGGGCAGACACTACCAGGTCAAAGTCACCGACATCGCCTCCTGCAGCGATCTCTACAAGCGCGACTACTACAGCTGCGAAAGCGGCGGCGAAGCCAAGCCGATCAGGTGGCTGGCCTGGGAGAGCATAGTGCTCGACCGGTACACGTGCTCGAGCACCGCCTGGTCGTTCGCCGTCACCCTCTGGGAGATAACGAGCCTCGCGCGCGAGAAGCCCTATCAGCATCTGTCGGATCGGCGGGTGCTGCAGAACGCCGAGACCATGTACTTCGGTAGCGAGCAACAAGTGAGTCGAGCATTTTATACGAATGCACACCGATCGAAGTTATATATATGCAGTGTAATCGATTTTTTTTTTGTCCGAATACAGGTCCTGCTGCCGAAACCAATGATGTGCCCGGACAACGTCTATCGCATAATGCGCTCGTGCTGGCGAAGGGACGAGTCGCGCCGGCCGAGCTTCAAGAAGATTTACGCGTTTCTCAAAGGCGTTGTGGCGGATTATCGGCCCTGAGCGAGCGAGCGCCACAAGGGATGATGACGATGATGCGTTCGCCGCACTGTGATAACGTATATAACGTAACTCTCTCTCTCTGAGCGAGAAAAAAATAAGAGTAGGAGGAGGAGGAGGATAAAGAGGGCAACTTGTATATTATCATATAAGCACGCATGCCTTATATGTAATGCGAATCTATAGAACCAAAGAGGGAGAAAAAGAATAGCGAGAGAGAAAATAAAAATAAAAGAGAGAGAGAGAGAGAGAAGAAATAAAAGCGATCCTAGATGATGTATTAAATATTATACAAACACAGCTCTGCTGCATACCGTACAATCGTTAAGTTTACCAACACACAATCACAAACTGTGTATTGTATGCGTGCCGCGCGAAATATTTTAACGAGGCTCGCTAAAAAACAATAACGAGCTCGTAATTCTCGAAACGCGTGTATATATATACACAGTAAGATCGGACTGATTCTTTTTCTCTCTCTCTCTCTCTCACTCAAATTCGAGATGAATATTTACGATAAAAACATATCGACCTCGGTTATTAAAAAAGAAAAAAAAGAAGGGAAAATACTCTGTACTCGTGATGTCGGGGGAGGGAAAGTCGAGCTTTAGTTTCGAGCACGTTAGAGATACGATAGAAAATAAATGTACGAAAGAATACAAAGAATAATGATCAAGAGCGTCGAGTCGAAGAGACGTTATAATGAAATAACCATATCGCGGTAACAATGTGTACGTTATAATGAAATAAAAAAAAATAATAATAATTATGATAATGACCTATTTTCACTGCAAAAACAAAACGAAACAAAGAATCTGTAATTCCAGTTAAAAGGACTGTAAAAATAAGGATAAATACAAAGACTTAGGGATATAATAAAAAAAAAACTATACGTTGAAATTTTGTACGATCGTCGAACGCGCGAATATATAATGTGTATAATGAAACTCGAAAATGTACAGATATATCGAACGACATTATTAATTATAATTCATATGTAGAAGAAACAAATGTATAATGTAATCGTCTGTGCTTTAACGAGACTTATGAAAGTGTAAATACAATCATGAGATTATATTCGTTTCAAAAAACTCGACACAAGTAAAATTGGATTGAATAATTTTTTCGAGCACTATCATATACGTAATTTCTGTATCTTATGAAATTAAAGCCATTAAACAGTATTAAATGCATCATGATTCATTGAGCTACTGTTTAGATTCGAGTCTTGGTTTCAACCGAGTAATTGCGAAGCATGAAAATATATACTCAAAGAGTTGAAATATTTTTCATCGTCGATTCAAACGCGTGTCGCGCTATTATATACGTATTCTTCGAAATACCGTCATTTAATTTTTTCATTTAATATCATCAAAAACAATTATACTGCTTGTAAAATGGAATATGAATAAAGATAAATCGAAAATCGACTCGTAGCGTCTCGTATTTTTTCAATTTCCTTGTCATCGCGAAAACTACAGTACCAACCGATCGTCGCGCTATATACATTCTAAAAGACGATTTTCGCAGCCGCAGCAGCAGCAGCAGACGATGCGTCGGTCGCGCGCCGACGTAAAAAAAAAGTCCTGTTAGACGAGGCTGTAAAGTTTTTGTGTGTGTGCATATACGTACATTATAAAACTTCCACGATGCTCGGAGCTCTCGAGCGGCAGCATTTGGTCAATGACCGCAGCCGCCGAGAGAACAACAGAATGAAGAGTGTCTCCTTGACCATCGCATTGCTGCTCGGCGCTCTGACGTGTCTAAGTGAGTCTTTTTTTTTGAAAACATTATTCGTAGCGAAATGTTGCGCATTTAACGACGATAAAATTCTATGCGTGTGTGTGTGTGTGTGTGTCGTAGCCCGTTCGAGCCCCACGAGCTACAACGAGAATCGAACGACGGATGCCTTGATCCCGTGCGATGGAGCTTGGACAACGAAAAATACGACGACGAACTTCGTAGCCAAGTTCACTTGGATATTCAACGGCAAGCCCATAAGCGAGATGAGCGACAAGTACAGAACGACCGGATTCGGCGATCTGCTGATCAACGATTTCACTTACAGAGATTACGGGGTATACGTGTGCCAAGTCGACGACGAGGCGGCGGAGATCCAGTCGACGGACAGCGTCATCAAGTACGTCGATCATACTTGTGAGTCTCGATTTTGTCGTTGTTGTTGTTGTTGTTGAGCCGACAAAAAATGTGTACAACCCGCATTGCCAATTTAGATGCGATCTCGGACGCCCAGTGCGCGCTGAGATCTTGCGTAGCAGCCGAAAAGTGTCGTCACGCCGGACTGCCGACTTCTTGTCCCGACCGAGGCGAGGTCTGCTGCAGCGTCGGTAAGCAGTCTTGTAAAGATACAAAAAAAGCTCTCGCGTTGCGCGTATATATTCCAAGTTCAAATTTTATCGTTCGTTTTTACGACTCGACGCACGAGTTAACGACCTATACAGCTCGGATCACACGGGATCACACGGATCAATAGCTTAAAACTCGAGATATTTAACGAAGTGCAGTATTATGTGTAAATTTGATGTTTGTCAACCTCGACGCTCTGAGATGGCGTTGTATTATTTTTCTTACCGATTCTTATCGAGCCGAGCATAATTCTTGAAATTATAAGGTCGAATTAATTGCACCTCTTCGCCGAAATTTGCCAACAGTGCTGGAGAAGGACAAACACCTGTGTCGTCACTTCTTGGGCGAGTGCATGGAGTACTGCAATCGGCAGATTCAGATAACGAGAGCCGAGGACTGCAAGGGCGACGAGAGATGCTGCCCGCTTCTGGTCGCCTGAGACGAATGATCGTCGCCTCCTCGTGCGATCTGTAATAATAATCGATATAGAAACAAAATTAAATGGTTTTTACAAACATTGACTCAGTCGTACGAGCGCATTTATTTTCCCATCTCGCGATGCGCCGCGGGACTTTTATCCGGCCTCGGTAATTCCCAAATAAACGAGCTCGCGACGATTTCATCTCGCGTTTTACTCGAGTCGACCGATAACGCGCACACGCGCGCGAGCGCGCGAAATTGCCATACAGTATAGTTCCTGCTCTACCGGTTAAATTCCCTCTCCTCGCGGTACGCAACGCGCGCGTCTCGCAATAGCGCATATATAATTTTCCCGGCGCGGGCGGTATACGTCGCGTACGTCATATAGTTTCGTTCGTATAACGCGTATAAAAGCTCCGAACGCACCGAGCGTATGTACAACTTGTAACGGTTGCAAAGTTGTGCGCGCGTATATAAACGGAAAAAAAGTTCGGACGAGCATCATGAGGGCAGCGACGACGGTGATTCTCTTGTTGGCGCTGTTTCTGCTTTTTGCGGGAAACGTCGAAGGTACGTAAAAGTGCATTACGCAGATGAGAAAGTCGGATACTCGACTTATCGGTAACTGATACATCGTACGGTTGTGCGTAGTTTTTACTCGATTCTAAGAGTCGTTTTATTAATTCGATGCGTTTTGTGTGTATGTATAGTGTGATTCAAAGTTAGATCGATCATTACTGTTGTCCATACGACGACGATTAAAAAAAAAATTAATTAATCGGTATAATCCTTCGTAAACATACAATTTAGTTTTATTTTTTTAATGTCTGATATGATATGCTTCCGAAATGTCGAAACTTTAATAATTCCAGACTATCTTTCGAACAAAAAGACGTATAGCGAGGAAAGCGCGTGTGTTTATTTATTTTAACTTTCTTATCGAATTTTTTAGGAATCATCGAGATCGCGAAAACAAAACGTTTACTTTGTCACGAGTCACTATTCGAAATATACCTGACAATCGATTGATTATTATACAATTGCTAAGCGAATCGAGATCGTTGAAGAATGGGGCCATTTATGGGAAATATCGCGCAGTTGTCGTGATTTGCAAAAAAAAATTTAATCGCGATTTTTTTATATTAAAACGAGAAAGAGCAAGAGATTGTCAAAAAGTAATTTCTGCATTAGAACCACTACTATTTCTGGTTTCTTTTTTTCAGCTATGAAGAGATCGGCTGATATATCGTGCACGGACTTGTCCGGAGAGTGCATGAGCTATTGTCACCCGAGAGTTCGAAAGCCACAGGCGCAAAATTGCCCCAAGACACAAATGTGCTGCGTTCTTGTGTAGTTTCATATCGATACTTACGTGTTACACTGCAAAATTCTGTATCAATTCGATCGAGAAATAATAAAAATAATAATTATCTCCTAATTACTCCTGCATCCGATTTATTTAAATAATAATAAAACAATATCATCATTACTCATTATGGATCAATTTGATGCAATTAATTAAGACATTAATTTGTTTCTTACTGCTTGAACATTTGACGGTATTTTTTTTTTCACTTCACTGTTATAAAATTAAAAGAGATACAACTCAATCGTTACAAAATAAAAACAGTAATTACTCTATTTTTTTGCTTTCATCTCGATCTCTTATCTGCTCATAAAAGTTTTCATGGAAAAAAGATTTCAAATTTATATCGAACCTGGCGCAGTCGGTAAGGTCACGCGCGCGACAACTATTATATAGTTCCGATCAGTGATGTCAGAGGACGCCGCATTGCGTAAATGCGTCGTCTGGTTAAATACCACATGGGCACGCCGGATTCTTCTAAACATGTGCTCGAGTCCCTCCGACCAAATGTAACAGTATTGTGGTTGTTTATTTAAAATCGAATCAAAATGGGTAAGAAAAAAGGATTCAATGCCAGGGCGAGGAGCGTCGCCAATATCGAGGTCGACGACTCGACGACGAAAAATGTAAGCCTACTCCGATCGACTTTGTTGCTCGATTTTCAATCGTCAATCGACAACTGTTTACGGATAATGAAACTTCACGCTCGTTGTTTTTTTTTTTTGCAGATCAACCTGGACTTGGATCATCGACAAGAGCAATACGATGCGTGCAATGCATTGGTTCTGCCGAGCGAAAAGAGAAAAACAAAGAACAAAGACAAACCGCTAATCGTGAAGAAATTACTTTCAAAGAAAAAGAGGAAATTACTTGAAAAAGTTATTGAAAGAAAGGGAAAAAAGGAAAACGTACGTACAATTGAAAAATTAAATATTAAATTAAAGACAGCAAACAAATTAATTTATTCATTTTATATTAATTACAGAGAGCCAAGCTACTGGAGGAGTTGGCTAAGGTGAGTATTCCAACAGAAGAACTCCAACAATATTCATCTTTGGTATCGATGCAAACGAAAGGTTTGAGAAAGCACAAACGTGATTTAAATAAACCTGTTGAGGCGATTGTTCGTAATGAAACCAGTGAAGGACAAAATGAGTCTATCGTTGATACATCCATGAAAGGAGCTAGAAAACGACGATTAGCATTGCTACATGATTTTGATAATAAAAGGAGAGTAAAAGATCCAAATGTGCTAGGATTAGAGGTAATATTAATTCATAATTTTTCAATAATAGATGATTTCACAAATATTTTTAATGCCTTGAATTTTTTCACATATAATAGGAATCCAGTGAATCTGAAAGTGACTCAGGCAGTGATTCAAAAAGTGACTCTGGCAGTGATTCAAAAAGTGCTGAAACAGAAAACACAGAACATGCAAAAGACAAAGAGCCAGAAAACAAAGTTAATGAGAAAGCTGGTACCAACGATATCAGTGCAGTTATTGATCAAGAAGTTAAAAAAAATGATTCAAAATGTGAGAAAAAAATTGAATCTGCAAATGAAAAAAAAATTAATAAAACTGTCAAAGTGGATGAAAAAAAAATTGACAAAACTGTGAAAGTGAATGAGAAAAAAACAGTCAATCATATAGAGCCGAAATATAAACGTGTCAATGTAGTTAGAAACAAGGAGATAGAAAAAACTCGTATTAATTTACCAGTAGTACAACACGAGACAGATATCCTTGAAACAATCAATGAAAATCCAGTTGTTATCATTAAGGCAGCAACAGGAAGTGGTAAGGATTTATGAAAATTCTCTTTTAAAAATAATTGTATTATATTAGTTTTTATTACTTTACTTATTAAAATCCTTCACTTTGAATAGGAAAATCAACGCAAGTGCCGCAGTTTTTATATGAAGCAGGATATGCTACGGATAGAATGATTGCAATTACTCAACCTAGAAGGGTAGCTGCAATTTCAATGAGTGAAAGAGTTGCTGAAGAATTATGTTTATCATCCAAAGAAGTATCATACCTTATACGATTTGAAGGTAATGCTAATCCTGATACAAAGATTAAGTTTATGACTGATGGGGTTTTATTGAAAGAAGTACAAAATGTAAGTTTTAATTTTTTTAATTTCATACGAATGGTTTCATTTTGACATTAAAAAATACGTATCTACTTCTTTACAGGATCGTTTATTGAGAAAATACTCAGTAATTATATTGGATGAAGCTCATGAACGTAGTGTACATACAGACGTATTAATTGGGTTATTGTCTCGTATAGTATTTGCAAGAAATAAAGCAGGAGATCCATTAAAGCTCATAATTATGTCAGCTACTATGAATCTCATGGATTTTTTGGAAAATGGAAGACTATTTCCAATTGATAATAGAGAATTATTCCCTAGCTATCCTTTGGTGAAAATTGAAGTGGAACGCAAATTCAAAGTTATAGTTCATCATAATAGAATAACTCCTCAAGATGATGGATACATAAAAGACGCTATAAGAAAGGCAGTCAAAGTGCATACACAACACCCCACCGGTGGAATTTTAATATTTTTGACAGGTAAACCTTTTATTTTTTTTATCTTTCATTTAGCCATCACTTCAAAAACTCATTTTTCAAATTTTTGTCATAGGCAAACGTGAAATAAATACAGTGGTTCGTCAATTGAGAAAAGCATTTCCATACCCTAAGAAAAACTCGAAGATAAAATCCAAAGCAAATCCGAAAGAAAACGATGAAGATAAAAATCAAAAAGAAAAATCAAGTGAGCGTAGCGATGGTGAAGATTCAGAGGACGAATTCTTCAAAGAGGGTAGAAAAGGTCATAAAAAAACGTCTGCAGTCCCGAAACTATTACATGTTGATCTTGATAAATACGACATCGTACCGCCTGATGATGATGAAGACGAATTTAATGATTCTGATGATGGTTGTTCGGATGACGAAACTGAAGATACAGACGTCGATTTAAGTAAAATCAAAGATGTGCAACCAATGCGCGTGTTACCTTTTTACTCGTCGTTGCCACGCGATGAGCAGGCCAAGGTCAGAATACATCAATTTACTTATTAATTACAAATTCATTACCTTTACAATCATTGAAAGATCTTTCGTTTACTCTCAGGTCTTTGAAAAATGCCCAAACGGATACCGCACCTGCGTTGTAGCGACCAACATAGCTGAGACATCTCTGACGATTCCCGGCATGAAATACGTGATCGACAGTGGAAAAACGAAGAAAAAATTTTACGACAAAGTGACCGGAGTCTCGACTTACAGGGTCACCTGGTGCAGCAAAGCTTCCGCGCAGCAGCGCACAGGTCGAGTGGGGCGAACAGCCGACGGCGACTGTTACAGACTCTATTCGTCCGCGGTCTTCAACAACGATTTCCCGGAATTCGACGAGCCGGAGATAGTGCAGAAGCCGGTCGACGACATAGTATTGTTCTTGAAGCTGTTGGGAATCGACGCGGTCGGCCGATTTCCGTTCCCCACGCCGATCGAGGCCGAGCAGCTGCGAACGGCCGAGGAGCGACTCAAGGTGCTCGGAGCCATCCAGGCGTCGTCGCGCAGAATCACCGAGCTGGGCCGAAGCATGGCCGCTTTCCCGGTGTCGCCGCGCTACGGCAAGATGCTCGCTCTGTCCCACCAGAGCGACCTGCTGCCCTACACGATCTGCATGGTGGCGGCGCTCTCCGTGCCGGAGCTCTTCGTCGCGGAGGACAAGAGGCAGGAGACGAGCAAGCAGGACAAGAGCAAGTGGATGCAGACCAGACTGTCCTGGGCCAGGACCGGCAAGAACTTTTTGCTCGGCGACGCCATGGTCCTGATTCGGGCCGTCGGCGAGGCCGAGTTCAAGCACGCCAAGAATCAGTTGACGCGATTCTGCCAAGAGAACGGCTTGAGCGAGAAGGCCATGACGGAGATAAGAAAATTGCGCCAGCAGTTGACCAAGGAGATAAACATGCTCGTACCCAATATCGATCTCAAAGTAGACCCAAGGTATGAATTTTTCATGGACGCGTGAATTTTGACGTAAATATCTTACTCATTCTTTTATACTCACTTTTTTATACTCATTGTCACAGTATGCCGCCACCAACTGAAGTACAGGCCAAATTGCTCAGACAAATCGTTCTATCAGGTACGATCGATCAGGTCGCGCGTAAATTAACGTCCGAAGAGATAGCCGAGTGGAAGAGAAAGAACGACGATACAGGGGGTAATGCCAAGTGGAAATACGCCTACAAGTGAGTAATCTACGTTGTTCACTCGAATTTTTCTACCTGCCAAAATATTGAATTGAATTTCATGGAATCGAAACGAATTTCAGAACCACGACGATGGAGGATCCGGTATTCATGCACGTGACCTCTGTGCTGAGAGCGTCGGCTCCAGAATGGGTCGTGTACCAAGAGCTGTACGAGCCCGACATCCACCAATCGAACGAATCGGACCAGCCGATAAAACCGAGAACGTACATGCGGGGCATTACGGCTATCGAGCCGGAATGGTTGCCGAAATTCGCCACCTTGTTATGTAATTTGAACGATCCGATGCTGGAACCCGAACCACGGTACGTTGAACTTGCAGCAGTTTTCGAGTTATAACGTACCACGAAAGTAGAACGAGTTGATTAAATAGTTACACGAATTAATGTAATTTTATAGATACGATGAAACGAGCGGGCAGGTACTGTGCCACATCAAGGGAACATTCGGACGAGCTGCTTTGGAACTGCCGCTCATGGAAGTTGAGCATCCTAAAACTATGGACGGTATCAAATGGTTCGCGAGATTTTTATTAGAGGGTCAAGTTTTTCCGAAATTGAAGAAATACAACAGAAAGAACGGAGACAACCAAAGAGTTCTTCTGACGAGTCCGTCGAGCATGACAAAATCGTGGGCCAAGTAAGTACACGAAATCTTGGAATTATTTTTATGAAATCATCGATAACTTTGATAATAACAAACGTGTTTTATTTTAGATTATTGCCTAGAGTACAATACATCACGAATTCACTTATGTCAAAGGGTATCATGTCGAGAGATAAGCTAAAAGAAGAATGGTGCAAAGATCCTACCTGTATGTATTTTCTTTATTTTAGCCTTATAAAACACAGTAACATTTTTTTTAATTATCCGTTCGTTGTTTTCAGTTTTACTCT